GCCTTAGAGAACCTTCAGGTGTGTGTTTCAACCACGAATCGCAACTTTCCTGGACGCATGGGCCACAAAGAAGCGCAGATTTATCTGGCGTCTCCATACACTGCCGCGGCCTCGGCTCTCACGGGCTTTGTCTCGGACTGCCGCGACTTCTTGTAGTTTTTTGCAGAAAATGTGAAAGGAAGCACGAAATATATATATATATATATATATATATGTAGAGACTGAAAGGCTCCTCACAGCAGTTTATTATGAGCATGTACGTGATCTAGGGAGAACACGAAAGTCTCATGTATAACTGCCTTCTAGCAGCGTTTTCTGCTCCCGGGCAGGATCAAAGTGCTGTCTTTTGTACCGAGAGATGCTGCTGGCTCTCTTGGCTGGGGCTCACATGCACCACGTCAAGCTATTTTGCAATGCTAAGCGTCTATAGGAAGGGAGCACAGGCAGCGACTACTTTTTCCTCTCTTATCACTGGTGATTGCAGAGCACATTCGAGTAATGGTGGTAGCTAAACTGCCTCTCGATTGCCTCAAATTTTATCCAGTGTATGCAAAGTTCCCACCGCAAAGAAAAATACAGTTCTGAAACAGAAGGCTGGTTTCCACTGTTATCCAATGGTGAATTTGCTCAAAACCTTACTTCCACCTGCTGTCAATGGTGATCAAATGTCCATTCATTTGCCCAAAACCTTACCTGGCTGCTCAAGAAATAAGATAGTAGATCTCAGCCATGGATAAATCACTGCTACTTAAAAGTCTATAAGTTCTTTCCATCTTATTTTCCTAGTTTGTTTGCGGATACAAATGATTTATATATAAAAATAAGTGTTAAATTTGTTTTCTACTAAAAAAAACCATTCAAACAACAACAAAACATTTTGGATTGAGGCAAAGGAAAGGCTCTTCTCATTTGAGGTTATGTGAGTTTGATCTTATGCTTCTTGTAGAAAAAGAAATGATTTTTAACTTGTCTGGGTTATATTAACTATTATTATCAATTATATTAATTAATTAAAAAGTGATTTTTAACTTTTGCAAATATAATGCATTCACTTTATTTAGGTCTCGGTTATATTAATGAGGGCATTAATTAATTAATTAAAAAGTGATTTTACTGCTAAGGCCTAGAAGAAGAGTTTATACATTTTTTTATTGTTGCTATTTACAAAGTTTGCAAACATACTCACATCATATTTCAATTGTTATAGAGATTGGTAAGTGATATATATATTTAGATGGGCTCTACCACATCATCATGCCCTGCGTTAAACACATGGAAGGGAAGACTAATGCCACATTAGACCACTACATCAAGAAAGGTAAAGTGAAAAATTACAAAGGCTTCTTTAACTCTTTCCTAAAGTGAGAGTGACATCTATTGTACAAGTTTGTGATATTTGCCATTGGTGTGCTTGCATAACTGACATTGCTGCACATATCTCTCACTAGTTTTGGCATACCTAGCTATTTTCTTGCTTGCCATTTCTTGCTTGGCACTTGTCTCTTGCTTGCCACCCATTTTCTGCTTACTTTATTTTCTCTCAAACTCTTGGCTTCTCTCTCCAGCACATAGCAAATATGGCTAGGGTTTTTGTAAGTGTCATTGATTGTGGGCAGCACTAGTACCAAGGTTTTTTTCTCATGGGCATAGGTGTTGCAATGTGTAAGAGCTAAAATTAGTGATTGAGGACCAATTGACATTAATAAAGATTGATTGTAGGCTAGTAAAGAGCACAAGTTTTTTCTTGTAGTATACCATGGGTGTTGCAACAAGGTAGTTCTTTTTTTTTATGTAGCCATCACAACTTCTCATGTGCATATAGGTTTCAAAGAGTAAAAGGGCAAAAATCAATTGTAAACACCATTCTTATATATTGTATATAACACATGTAATCATGGGATGAGATTTAAATATATTGTCACCGTGGATCCTTGAAATCTTATGGATAAATAGGGATAAAACAGTCACTAAAGGTTCAATTATTTTATTTCTAATTACATTAAAGGGAGAGAGATGTGGTATCAAAGCAAATAACATGAGTTCGATTCTCATTTATTAGTGGCTACTAAAAAATATAATATACCTTTGAACAAGATATATTCCTACCCTAATTCCCATTTATTAGTGGCTACTAAAAAATATAATATACCCTTGAACAAAATATATCTACCCCTAAATTTAAAATTGTACGTATTGAGCATCCATATATATATCCTTCCTCTTATGAGTATCCACCACAATGGGACTGTAGTACGGGTGGATAACTAGTTACCTCACTTGAAAATAGAGATTTGGAAGGAAAATGGAGATTTGGCCCATTAAATCATATTGACACATTTTCATGAGCATATGTTATTAGTATACTTGTAAGCATATATAAATTATAAGTTCTTCATTGTTTACTTTTGTGCAAAGTATGAACATACATTAAGAGCACGTAATATTTGGGCTAAACAAACATGTTGTTCTTGTCAATTGTAATGATATAAGTGAGATATTTTACATTTTAATTTATTTATAATTTGTCTTTCATTTTTGTTGTATTGAGAAACATTCTCACTACATTGAGGTGGGTGAAGAGAATTCATCTATGGAGTATGCATAATGTAACTCCTCCACTACTAACAATGCCATTAGTTTTCATGAGTTGGAAAAAGGGATACAAACAACAGTAGTAGAATAGAGTGACATCTAACCATGCTAGATGATGCTCTCATGAAAATAAACAAGGGGATATAAGTAACAGGTGAAACCAAATGATTTAGATGTGCCAAAAGATGTGCCAAGTGGCATATTTATCCTGTAGTGTGGGACATTAATTATTTATGATTTTTATTTTCAAATTTTAATATTAAATTTTAATCTCTTTGCAACAAGTCATTCTTGCCTTTGTCTAGCAACTTCAAGAAGTTTATGTGACTCTTGTTATGGCTTTACCCAATGCAATTAATTAAAGAGAATGATTGGTTAAGAGTTTTGGGATACTTAGAGTTAAATGTTCTTGAGTTTAAGTAATAATGACTAAGTTTACACTCAACTCAAGACACAACACAAATACAGTTATGATAAATCTCTATACAAGGAGCCATCACATGAAAAAATAAAGCTTCCAAACAAGGATGTGGATGCAGTCTCCAAAATAGATAAGGTACTGCCTCCAAGCAATAAAGGGGTGTAAACCCTATGCATAATGGAGATGGAGGTGGTGCCTCCAAGCAATGAGGTGGTGCAAACACTATGTATAATGGAGATGGAGGAGAAAGAGGTGGTGCCTCCAAGCAATGAGGTGGTGCAAACACCAAGATGGGAGGTTTCTTCTCCATGTAAGATGAAGGTGGTGGAGGTAACCTGATATCATATAGAAGCTCTTTGCAAAAAAACCCTATGATCCTCCATCACATCACTTCTAACCTAAGTTACCTCCACCTTGGAGAAGGAACCTTGTTCCATGAGGAGGCCCTATATGAGGATGAGGTTCCTCCTCCACACTAAATGGAGGGGCCTTGGTTGAAAGTGACAAAGTAGAAGGTTCTCATGAGGAGGTTCCATATCAAAATGAGGTTCCTCCTTTATGTGATATGGAGGGGAATCCACAATATGAGTTGAAGGCCCCTCACATCCAAATGGAGGTTCAATGTGATAATGATGAAAAGGAGTCTTGGCAAGGATCTTGGACTTGCAAGAAAAATAACATGGAAGAGGTAGTAAGTAAAATTATGTAGTTTTTCTACTATATAGTGGGTCAATACTCCATAATTTATATGCAAAAGATGTATTAACAAACCAACCCCCCCCCCCCCCCCCCCTGGTCCCTTTTTTCCAGAAGTATCTTGCAACCAAAAGGAGCTAGAATTTGCAAACGTCCATCTCAGCTGGGGACAGATTTAACCAGAGGCTCGCCATGGCCTAAAGAAGGCAGAAGGCAAGACTGCAGTAGACCAGTCCTCTCCACCTTTTTCTTCCCTACATTTTATGTAATTTCTTCAAATGGGATGAATTCCTAGAGGAACAAATGCTGTTAAGTTTATTGTGTGGCAATCCCACACAAGTTCTTTACTGAAAGCAGTGTAAATACATTTTTATTTTGCAAAGACGTTTGGGCATCCTGGACACACTAGGACGTGGGATTGCAACCTAAAGCTTACTGGAGACTATTCTTTCCCACAAACAGGGGATGGCCGTGTTTGATGATTAGAACCATTGATTTTTTTAATTTTTCTGTTCTTTCACCTTTACAAGAGCAGAAGAAGCTTGGATTGTGACCTTTCCCCAGCGCATTTCCACCGATCATCTGCTAATGATCATGCAGACATCGTTATCTAATGCATAACACACAGCTCAGTGTGCATATTTCTCCTCCAAAAAACAGTGCCCATCGCCAAGCTCTTGCAATGAATGTGCTTTAACTTCCCACTTATTTACAGGTGAACTCTGGGTGTGCTAGCTATAGATATTTGACATTTATGTTAGTTGAGAGAGGAACTAAAATTTAAAAGAAGAAAGAATAAATCTCTGGAATCTAGGAGTTACAAAGCTCTATAACACAGTTACATGTTTATATAGTGAAACTCTAGACATTAACAATCAAGTAGCCTTGACGAGAGGGAAGAGGGTGTTGAGCTGTGGGAGTTTTTCCTTTAAATTCTTTTCAATTGCACAGAATCCAGTGTAGAAAGAAAACATAACAAAGAGTTACAGCCACTTTTTAACATGGTTGGGTGGTGATAATATAACAGTTGGCTTTGCTGGGATTTTATTAACTATAACCTTTGCCAGCCACCTAGCATTTGCTGTCTAGTTTCTTTATAAACTTGTAAACCAAAACTAGCTTGTTGAACAGTGAAGAAGGGACAAGTGTCGGAACCAACAGAAATCAAACATGAATCTCCAAACTTTGTGTGTTTTATCCATCTTTGTATTAATTTCTCACCTTGTTTACCTATTGCCCGGATCATTAAGAATGAGAGTGAGGTAAATTAGGTCCCATGCAGGCACACATGAACGGTAAACACTATGCTAGTAAAGTTTTACTCTGTGGATCAAAAAGCATGTTGGACATTTTTTATTTTTTCTATTCCTGAGTCAACTTGAGAGTGGTGTAAGCACTTTCGTTGAGTCTGGGAGTGATCCTGGCTTTGAGAGTGTGTGCCATGTAGTTTACGACTGCTGTAGCTTCATCCATAGGCTGATCTTTTGGGCTTCCAGGAAATTTCCACTCGAATCCATGTAGAAGATTGGAAAGAACGAGCTGGACGTTTCTAATACCCAGAAGAAGCCCGGGGCAAGACCTCTTTCCAGATCCGAATGGAAGCAGCTCAAAGTCTTGGCCATTGACACCGATGCTGCTGCCAATGAATCGCTGGGGCTGGAACTCCAGAGGATCACTCCAAACTTGAGGGTCTCTGCCAATTGCGTAGACATTCACAATAAGCGTTGCATTCTTGGGGATGTCATAGCCTGCAACATTCTGAGCCTCGACCGATGCGTGTGGTATGAGCAAAGAAACGGGAGGATGGAGACGAAAGCTTTCCTTGATGATGGCATTCAAAACCTCGAGCTTGGATATGTCTGCTTCTTCGACCATGCGTGTGTGTCCGACAACGTTCTCAATCTCTTGCTGAGCTTTAATCATCCAATCTGGGTGGTGAAGAAGTTCCGCCAGAGCCCACTCGATCACTGTTGATGATGTTTCAGATCCACCCAGCAGTAGATCCTATCAAAATAATCAAGTAAATAAAAACTAAATAAAAACTACTAGGTTTGCAACTTACCATGAGCAGAGCTTTGAGATTGGCCGCATCGTTTCCAATGTGAGACCTTGTGATCTCCACGAAATCGGGAACCTCACCAGGGCGCTGCTCGTCCAAAACCTTTTGCAAGAAGCCATTCATCTTATCCCCAGCCACCTTTGCGCGGCGGGCAACCAAGTCGAGCCAGCTTAAGTAGGGGAAATAGTCAGTGATCGAAAACTCAGCTCCCACCTCAAGAAACTCATCAATCATCCCAATGAAATTCGAGGCGTCTTCCGCAATCGCGGGATCACCAGACGCCTTGGACCCAAAATAAGTCTTCTTCATAAGGATACGAGTCATGACATTGAAGCTCAGCGCCCTCAAATGTGATCTCACGCCCACAACTTGGCCAGCTTTGGAAGCCCTCGAGAGCTCGCGACTGAGATCCCACAGCTCGTCCCGGATGATCTGCGCGTTCAAACTCACCCTCTTGGCCGTGAATAGCTCCGTGGCACAGAGCTTCCTCAGCTTCTTCCAGTAGTCTCCATACGGCGAGAAAGACATGCTCCTGAAGTCAAAGATTATGGAGGCTGTGTTGTTACGAGGCCTATAGGCGAATTCCGTGTCGTGGATCTTGAGAAACTCCTTGGCCATCGCTGGACTGGAGACCACGAACACAGGGACAGATCCCAGGCGCAAGTGAAAGAGGGGTCCAAATCTCTTGGAGAGCTGCTGGAGTGCGATGTGTGGCAGCTTGCCCATGGCCAGGAGATGGAAGTGGCCGATGAGAGGTAATCCTCTGGGACCTGGTGGAAGATTGAGAGATATGCTGGAGAGCCATTGCCTGAGAATGAAAGCTGAGAAGAGGAAGAGCGTGACTGCCCAAAACATTGCTACTTTCTGCCCCTCAATCGTTGAAGCCCCTCCTTTTGTATAGCGCTGGCAAAGTTTTTTCGTTAACCTCCATTCAATGTTAAATAGTGAAGTCAAAATTTGTACAGGATATCCGACATTATCTTTCGCTAAGCCTTCGAAGCTTGGAAGTTGTGAACTTTATCGCACCGCTAGTTTCTTGCGAACTTTAGGCTCCTCCTTCTTCGTGCTCCTGAATACGTGCCCCCATCGTTTTGTCCAGCTTCAGCGACTTATCAGCAGGAAGATCCAAATCGTTCGCGGCTTGTTCATGAGCTTCACGGATCTCTTCCTCCACAGCATCACGGTCAGCTTTGATGGTTTTTAAGCTGCTGTCATATGATGCCGAAATGATGTACTCGCCATTCTTGATTTGATCCAGGTCGATGCGCTTTCGATCAGTGCGTCGTATCTTCCGGGATGTTCAGCAAGCGTCCACTCTCTCAACGGAACGACGTACCGTTCCTCGATGGCGGACGCAAGCTCGCCTTCATAACGTTCAAGAGCATCTTTGACGACGGAGAGACGAACACTTACCTGTATACCAATGATCAGACCATTTACAGTAAGCAAGGTGTTCAGTAACTACGAACCTGATAAAGCTTCACGAGGTCTTGCAACGTAGCTCTCGACCTCTCGAGCTTCCGTGTCAGGCGCTCAACATCCGGCACACGTTTGAGGCAGTTCTTTAAACTTTCCCGCAGCTCGGAGTCTTCTACAAACATCTGGACGACGTCATGCCTGTGCTTGATCTCATCAACGTCAAGTAGAGGCTGCTTCAGCCACCTGTTCAGTAGCCTCTTGCCCATCCCAGCAGTGGACGTGCGATTCATTAATCCAAAGAGGGTTCTTGTTCGGATCATTCTTGGACTCGAGTACGTGCAGCGCTCGCAATGCGGCCGCGTCCAGCCGCATGTATGTGTCGAGGCTGTACTGCTGAAGCCTATACTTCCCGTGATTGCTGTCGTCTGTGAAGATATCCGTGTATGCAAGTAGAGCTGCTAATGCCGCTGACGCAACTTACGAGTTCTCGGAGCTCCTCAACCGATGTACTCTTGATAAGCCGGCTTAGATCTTGCTCGATGTCTCGGGACTTAAACTCCGCCTTCTTCTTCTCAGTCAGTCGCACGTTGCATCGAGCCAGCACGTCTCGGATTCCCGACCGTCGACGCTCTTGGCATTTTCCGCAGGAAGAACGCACTCCCGGCATCCCAGAGCGAGCAGAGCCGACTCCAAGTTCGTGTACTGATCGTCGTCTAGAAACTCTAGTGTACCAGCCACAGTTTCTCGATTTCGTCCTGGATTTTCTCTCAGGTGAAGCACGCAATGACACTGACAGAAAATTCTCGCTCGCGCTTCCGAGAAGACAAAATTGGTGCCTGGGGAGAATGTGTGGGTCAATGCCGATGTTCTCATGACACACAATGTTTGCGGGCCTGGGCCAATTGGGATTTTCAAAAAGGAATTCGGTGCTAACGGTGAAATGTGCCCTCAGGTTTGGGATCGCGAGAAGATTGTGATCATCCCCGATCACTACATCTTTACTGCGGACGAGCGCGCTAATCGAAATGTGGATATTTTGGGGGACTTTTCAAAAGAGCAAAGTATCAAGTATTTTTACGATATCACTGACAGGGGTGACTTTCGGGTACGTTTGCGGTGTTTGTACGTGATTCGGTCGCTCTAACCCGGATTTGATGCAGGCAAATCCCGACTACAAGGGTGTTTGCCACGTTGCTCTTGCTCAGGAAGGTCACTGCAGTCCGGGCGAGGTGAGTCTGATCTTTGATGTCTTGTATTGCGTGAGAGACGGTTCAGTTGTTGTCTCTAGGTTCTTTTTGGAACTGACTCGCATACTTGCACTGCTGGAGCGTCTGGACAATTCGCTACTGGAATAGGAAACACCGATGCTGGTTTCATCATGGGAACTGGAATTTTTTTACTAAAGGCAAGTAGGCGCTTTTGGCATCTTTGTTTCTTCTTACAAGCTTAGGTGCCCGGAACATTGAGATTTGTTCTTGATGGAGAAATGCCGTCATATTTGCTGGCCAAGGATTTGATACTGCAGGTGTGTTTGGATTTTTAGCGAGAGCTGGCTCCCTGTACTTGAAGTACTTATATGCACGTTGAGGCACACAAATCATTGGAGAGATCACTGTTTCCGGTGCAACATACAAATCAATGGAGTTTGTTAAAACAGCTGTAGAACGTATGACGGTCAGTATTTTTTTCCCCTTACCTCGTCGAGATTGTCCACCTGATTTCGAGATCGGAACTCACGCAGATGAAAGACAGAATGACGTTGTGCAATATGGCGATTAAAATGACGTTGTGCCTGCGGATGAAGTCACCTATAGTTGAAGGTAAGTTTTAGTTTATTTGTTCGAGGGGCAAAACACAGGAGTTCGAATCCGTGTATAGTGACGCTGGCGCGACGTAAGCATTGAATGCTATGCCTTGCGTCATGTTGATACTTTTGCAAGTTTATACAGGAGTATAGAACTGATGTATCCAAGCTTGAACCAGTTGTTGCGAAGGTACTGTAGTTGTTTTGACCACGTGCAGTCAGTCTCTTTTTGTGTGCAGCCGCATTCTCCGGATAAACGAGCATTAGCCAGGAACTGCAAAGATGTGAAGATCGACCGAGTGTACATTGGCTCCTGCACGGGAGGCAAGACGGAGGACGTTGTAGTTGCAGCCAAGCTCCTCAACAAAGCCGTGAGTAAAAGAGCTTTTTTTTCTACCTTCGCCCTGCGGCTTACATTTCCCTTCTTTGTTTAACTTCCGCAGGGCCAAAAAGTCAAGGTTCCAACCTTCCTCGTGCCGGCAACACAAAAGGTTCATTCATTCTTTTTTCGTTTTCTATTAGTTCATCCAAAACTAATGGATCAACAGGTGTGGGTGGACTTGTACGCAATGCCACTCCCCGAGGCAGACGGGAAAACGTGCGCACAGATCTTCGAGGAGGCTGGATGCGACACTCCCACTTCTCCCTCGTGTGCCGCATGCTTGGGGGGTCCCAAAGACACGTATGCTCAATGAGTCCAAGGTAATGTTCTTTAAGTTCTCCCTTTGTCCTCTTAGCTTAGAGAAACTCCAGGTGTGTGTTTCAACCACGAATCGCAACTTTCCTGGACGCATGGGCCACAAAGAAGCGCAGATTTATCTGGCATCTCCATACACTGCCGCGACGGGCTTTGTCTCGGACTGCCGCGACTTCTTGTAGTTTTTGCAGAAAATGTGAAAGGAAGCACGAATTATATACATGTAGAGACTGAAAGGCTGCTATGAGCATGTACGTGATCTAGGGAGAACACGAAAGTTTTTTCCGAAGCTCATGTATAACTGCCTTCTAGCAGCGTTCTCTGCTCCCTGGCAGGATCAAAGTGCTGTTTTTTGTACCGAGAGATGCTGCTGGCTCTCTTGGCTGGGGACGTCAAGCTATTTTGCAATGTCCAACAAGCTAAGCGTCCATAGGATGGGAGCACAGGCAGCGACTGTACTTTTTCCTCTCTTACATGCAGATATCACTGCATGTCTGATTGCAGAGCACATTCGAGTAATGGTGGTAGCTAAACTGCCTCTCGATTGCCTCAAATTTTATCCAGTGTATGCAAAGTTCCCACGGCACAGTTCTGAAACAGAAAAGGAAAGAGGCTGGTTTCCACTGTCATCCAATGGAACGTCCATTCTTTTGCCCAAAACCTGCTGTCCAGCTAGCGTGCTTCTTTCATGGGCAAGAATTCGTCAGGTTGAGGCTGGTTTTTAAGTTTGGGCTGCTCAAAAAATAGGATAATAGATCTGAGCCATGGATAAATCACTGCTACTTAGAAGTCTATAAGTTTGCTTGCGGATACAAATGATTTATATATAAAATAAGTGTTAAATTTGTTTTCTATAAAAAACGAAAACACTTTTATAGCATCATTTCCACAAAAAAACATTTTGGATTGAGGCAAAGGAAAAGGCTCTTCTGATCTTATGCTTCTAGTGCTCTTAAAAAAAAAAATTTTAACTCATTATTTGGGTCTGGGTTATATTAACTAGGGAGATGCATCATTACTTTATCAGGGAGTGGATCAAGAGAGAAGAAGTCAAGCTGAGATACATCCCTACAACGAAGATGACTGGATCTGCTCACAAAGACTACAATTGAAGTTCGACAGTTTGAATGACTACAACGACAACTCAGACTGGTCTCACAGGGGGAGCAGCGATCTGATTAAAAGACATCAGATTGAGGGGGAGTGTTGGAGATCAAGGCACAATCAAAGGAACTAGGGCGTGTATATAAATCAAGAAGTGGTGTATCAATACTGCGCAGTACTTTTCCTTCATACCTATTTCATCAATGCCAGAGAATGCCAAGACAGGTTAGCAGGGCGTCCTCGAGGATTGGGGAGAAAGAACGCCAAGACTGGCTATACAAACCAGTCAAGAGCTCTCATGGTAAGAGCTATTCCAGAACCTGTGTTTGTTCAGCAGCAGGATCAAGACGTAATCTGGCTGGACACAGCAGCAAATATGCACATGACTGGCAGGCGAGAAGCTTTCCTGAATCTTAGGAAAATTTCTAAGGCAGGCAGGTTGGTTTAGGAGACAAGAGTCTTCTTTCAGTTGTAGCAGTGGGCACAGTTCAAGTAAAGCTGGCCTCAGGAGAGCTGCGACAAGGAACATGTATTTTGTTCCAGGCTTGGCGTGTCATCTTTTCTCAATCGGTGCAGCTTCTGACAACGGTTTCTATTTTATTTTTAACGCCCAGCAAGCTATTATGCGAGATGAGAAGACAGATCAAGCAGTGGCTTATGGACAACGTTATTCTGGACTTTATAAACTCAACGCCACCATGGTTGTTCCAGACAAGCAGCCAGATCGAGTCAACTCGAGCGAGTAATCTCCAGTTGTGGCATGAGCGTCTAGGCCATGTGCATGAAGACGCCCTCAAAGCAGTGTCCAGAGATCAAGCACATGCAAGAATTCGAGTTTACAAGCAAGCTTGAATTTTGTGAGGCTTGTGTGCTAGGAAAACAAGCACGCACATGTTTTCAGAATCCAAGAGCAGTCAGCCTCTTGAGCTCGTTCACACACGTGTGTGGGCCTCTCCATGTCCAAAGTCATTGTGGAATGAGGTATTTTTTGATATTCATCGATGACTACTCACGCTACACAGTCGTGAGACTTTTGGCCAAGAAATCTGAAGCTCTTGATCACTTTAAAGTTTACAAGGCTTCTGCTGAAAATCTCCTTGGCAAGCAGCTCAAGACTCTACGCAGTGACAGAGGTGGCGAGTATAAGTCACGAAATTTTACGAAGCTGTGCAATGAGAGTGGTATCCAGCAGCAGTTTACAGCTCCAGATAGTCCTGCTCAAAATGGAGTTGCTGAAAGAATGAACTGGACTCTTGTGAGAGTGCACGTAGTATGCTTATTCATGCAGGAATGCCACTATCGTTCTGGGCCGAGGCGATTAATACAGCCACATATATTCGCAATCGAGTGCCTACCCAACCTCTTGCAGATATAATATTATGGCAGCACGTCTGCCAGCGACAGTTTTTATCCCAGTTCGAGATTTCAGCGACTGGACGTCTTTCTTATTGCCTTGGGATCCAGGTGCTTCGTGACAGAGAAGTATTAGTCATCAAGCTCTCTCAAGCACATTATGTTGAAGAAATCTTGCACAAGTTCAACATGCAAGATTGCAAGCCCATGGTGACACCCATGGATCTAGGTCTTCTGCTGTCCCAACTCTGAGGAGGAGAAAGCAGTGATGGCACAGTTGGATGCTTTATTTATCTAGCCATCAGTACCAGACCAGACTTGGGATTTGCAGTTGGAGCAGCTGGAGCAGCAAGCGACAAGCAATCACAGCACTTTCATCCACCGAGGCTGAATATATTGGTGCAACAACAGCAGCTCAAGAAGCGAGGTGGCTTACAGATTTTCTGGAGCAGATTGGTGTTCCAGTGCAGCAGCCAGTGACTTTGTTTTGTGACAATTGAAGTGTGATCGAGTTGTTGGAGAATCCGAAGTTCCACGGCCGCACCAAACACTTCGAGATAAAGGTACATTTTATTCGAGAACAGGTTCTAGCGAACAGAGTGCAGCTGAGATATGTTTCGACGAAGCAGATGACAGCAGACATTATGACAAAAGCTTTGAGCAAAGACAAGTTTCAACAACATCGTGAAGATATGAGCGTTATAGACTCTCACGGCTGAGTGGGAGTGTAGATAGCCAGCCTAGAGTCTAATCCAAGGTGGCAAGAGATTCATGTGGACGCTGAAATGAGCGGAAACAAGACTTGTATATATTTACATGGAGAAAATGACAAAGTGAGTTAGGGGAAACAAAGTATGCCGTTTAACTAGACGCTGCTCGTTCAAAACCTTTTGCAAGAAGCCATTCATCTTGTCCCCAGCCACCTGTGCCCCGCGGGCAACCCAGTCGAGCGAGCTTAAGTAAGGGAAATAGTCAGTGTCAGCTCCCACCTCAAGAAATTCATCAATCATCCCAATGAAATTCGAGGCGTCCTCCGCAATTGCGGGATCACCAGAGGCCTTGGATCCAAAGTAAGTCTTCTTCATAAGGATACGAGTCATGACATTGAACACAACTTGGCCAGCCTTGGAAGCCCTCGAGAGCTCGCGACTGAAATCCCACAGCTCGTCCCGGATGATCTGCGCGTTCAAACTCACCCTTGGCCGTGAATAGCTCCGTGGCGCAGAGCTTCCTCAGCTTCTTCAAGTAGTCTCCATACGGCGAGAAAGACATGCTCCTGAAGTCAAGGCTATGTTGTTACGAGGCCGTGGGTCTTGAGAAACTCCTTGGCCATCCCTGGACTGGAGACCACGAACACAGGGACAGATCCCAGGTGCAAGTGAAAGAGGGGTCCAAATCTCTTGGAGAGCTGCTGGAGTGCGATGTGTGGGAGCTTGCCCATGGCCAGGAGATGGAAGTGGCCGATGAGTGGTAATCCTCCGGGGCCTGGCGGAAGATTGAGAAATATGCTGGAGAGCCATTGCTTGAGGATGAAAGCTGTGAGGAAGAGCGCTACATGCACCGCCCAAAACATTGCTACTTTCTGCCCCTACATAGGCCATTCAAGAATTGAATTTTGTTTAAACATGGCATGGAAGCTGGTAACTTCCATTCCATGGGCACAATGTCCAACTTTCGAAACTATACTATATCTTTACGCTAGTGCTTCTAAAATGCTGAAGGGATATCTTCCAGGAACTCGGCTTTGAGCTCCTGGACCTTCTTCAAGGCGCTCGTGGCTCATCTGATCCAGCAGCAACTCAGCGAAGCCTTTTGAGGAATTTCCAGCCTTTGTCCCCGCTGCTGCTGCCTCTTTCATCCTCCAGAATCGTAAGTCTTCGAGCTCGGCAACCTTTTGCTCGATGAGCGGGACGTCGCATTCTGGAAATCGAGTGAATTCCGCCATGTGTATGCTGAAGCTCTGGTCGCAAGGGCCATGTTCAACCTGGAAAAGAACTGACAGATCAGATCTCAAAACCCATTGCGAAGTAGAAGTTACGAGTACCTTGTAAACCATGGTGAGCTTCCGGGAATTCGGATCTATGTGTGTGCTCATGTGAAAGTTGGATCTGAGTGAGCTCGTGGAAGTGTGTCTCAAATAGAGTTGGAGCTCGAGTCATATCCACTATGTACTGAGACTGCCATTGTTTACAGAGCACTGGAAAATCTTTCATAAGTCGAGGTGTAATGCGACATATTATATTGTTTAAATAGTGATCAGGAAATAATGCAGTTCAGAGTTGTTTAGGCACTTTCGTTGAGCCTAGGAGTGATCTTGCCTTTGAGAGTGTGGGGCTTTTGGGCTTCACCATCAATCTGGAGTGGGGTGAAGCAACGTGTGTATTCGTTTGTACACAACTCTTTCAGCGAAGCAGTCCCAACGAGAAGATTGTTCATCTATCCCTGAGCTTCAAAGGCTTGCAAAGACCAGAGAAGTCCTATCAGATTTTGATGGGTGTGATTTGCGCCAGGGAGAAGCTAACTGCTGGAAAAGAGAAGCCCGTCTATAAAAAAACGCGCCAGCGAAAGCTATAGGCCTGAAAAAATATCCTAGATTGTCCATCCAACACTATAGATTGATCTTGGGAGTTGGTAATTGGGATGGAACAGGGCAACAATGCTAACAGGCGACTAGCATAGTAGAGGGCAATGATTCTCCCAGCATGGAAAATTCCGATGCATCTCAAGAATGTACAGAACTTCTGGAGATAACTCTTCCCAAACAGACGATTGTGAGCAGCAATAAGTTGCAGGGCTGGTGGTATTCATTGAACACCACCAGTATTCATTGAACACTACATTAATGTGGCAGTTATAATAATAATAATACATGTTTTTGGAGGGTCTTACAGCGCCCAAGTAAAGGCATGAGACCACTGGGGGGGAGGGGGGGGACATTGTACTTGCCTACCTACCTACTCAACTCAGGATCATCCAAAAACTATGGTGGGAAATCAGTTCAACCTTAAGATTTTTCTTTTCTCACATGCAAAGGTGCTAAGTGGCATTCCAACACAAACGTAGAAACTTATTTGCACACTCTCATGCTTCTTATTGGGCACCACAAGACTACCAAAACAAAATATAAATAAATAAACACCGTGCATAGCATTAGTATGTTAGCAGTCATCTCTTACCTCTGCCTCAATGCTGTTGCTGGAGGCTTGACCATTTGCGGCCACAAGAGGCTCTGAGTGCTGCAATCAAGGCGTGCAACCAACTAGGCTCCGGGACGTCTTCTTGGCCTTCTTCCACTGCTTCCAAGAACAATGCATTGCTGTCGAGTGAGTTCATGCCATATAATTTAGGTTGATCTGTCCACCCAAATGTCTGCAGACTTAACTCTTGGACATGATAATCACCTGAAGGAGATGATTGCAACCTCATCGGGCATCTCCGCCATCGCTATCTGGACTGGAATGATTTGTTTAGAGTGATTTCATTAGTTTGCTCTTTGGGAATAAAATAACAAAGAGAAGCTATACCTTCGTTGTTCTCATGTATAGTAACTTCTGGGCTACACCTTTATCCAATAGACTCATCGAACTAGAATTGTAGATTGCTGGAACAAAGCTAGCAATAAAAATGATAGTGACTTTAGCACTGCTTCATAACTGAGATTGAGTATTGTTAGTTTCACAGCAGAAAAACAAGTAGTATGACTTCAACTTCAAGGTATGATCTTTAATGTTTGCAAATCGTTTTCCTACTGATTTTTCTTTGGATCACCTACTCAGCTGAGCTGAGACTACTCAAGAATGAATAATGGGATAGAGATAGAGTATTGTTTACATGACAAAACAATGATGGACATCAGACTAGCTAATGTTCAAAAGAAAATGTTAGATGGTATATATAGTGGTTTTTTCATCACTAGAAAGTGGTTTTTTAAACTTCGAACTCCTGTTGGGTAATTTCTAGTTCTAAAATGTTGATGGAGGAACTCAGCTTTGAGCTCCTGGACCTTCTACAAGGCATGGTCATGGCTCATCTGATCCAGCAGCAATGCAGCGAAGCCTTTAAGGAATTTCCAACCTCTGTCCCCATCCTCCAGAATCAGCTGTGACAATAAGTTTTTGAGCTTTTTGCTCGATGAGGAAATCTAGCAAATTCCACAGCATGTACGCTGAATCTCTGGCCGCAAGGAACCTGGAAAAGAAGCCGGGGCAGACCAGTGCACTGCCTTGCACTGCTGGAGGGGAGCCCGGCACTCCAAGCCATTATGAAGTAGAGGTTACAAGTGAGCTATCAGGAACGTGTGGGCTCACATAGAAGTTGGAATTCCTACAGGAGGACCTTTGCTAGGTCCGTGAGCTGATTGTTTGGTGGATACACTATACAATGAGCCAATTTCATGTCCTGTCTCTAATCCAACTAATATGCTGTGATATGCAGTCCTCCACTTTGTAAGTAGTTTAGAGTCATTATACTGCACGAAGTTCATTAAGCTTCTAGCCATAGCTAAATTTGAGACATTAGGTGAAGAGGTAAGCTGGATTTTCAGACACTATTTATGGTCTGGAAAATGTGAAGGGCTCTTGCTAATTTTAAAAGTTTCCAGGCTTTCGACTTTTTCTGGATTTGCTAGTCCAGTTGCATTTTCCCAAGATTGTTGAGACAAACATTAAAGGTTATCTAACATGATTAAATTTTGGTTTGAAGATTGTATGAGACTAATTTACTGCACAAATTAATCTATGATCTTGAGTTATATAATATATTATCAAATGATCCTAAGTCAACCTGTAAAGACTTTCGTTGAGCCTAGGAGTGATTTTGGCTTTGAGAGTGTGTGCCATGAAGTTTATGTTTCCCATAGCTTCATCCATAGTCTGATCGTTTGGGCTTCCAGGAAATTTCCACTCAAATCCATGGAGAAGATTAGAAAGAACGAGCTGGACGTTTCTAAGACCCAGATGAAGCCCGGGGCAAGATCTCTTTCCAGATCCAAATGGAAGCAGCTCAAAGTCTTGGCCATTGACACCGATGCTGCTGCCAATGAATCGCTGGGGCTGGAACTCCAGAGGATCACTCCAAACTCGAGGGTCTCTGCCAATCGCGTAGACATTCACAATAAGCATTGCATTCTTGGGGATGTCATAGCCTGCAACATTCTGAGCCTCGACCGATGCGTGTGGTATGAGCAAAGAAACGGGAGGATGGAGACGAAAGCTTTCCTTGATGATGGCATTCAAAACCTCGAGCTTGGATATGTCTGCTTCTTCGACCATGCGTGTGCGTCCAACAACACTCTCAATCTCTTGCTGAGCTTTGACCATCCAATCCGGGTGGTGAAGAAGTTCCGCCAGAGCCCACTCTGTCACAGTGGATGATGTTTCAGATCCACCAAGAAGTAGATCCTATCAAGATCACAGAACAATCAAGTAAGTTCCACAGATTTGCAACTTACCATGAGGAGAGCTCTGAGACTGACCACATCGTTTCCAATGTGAGACCTTGTGACCTCCACGAAATCGGGAACCTCACCGGGGCGCTGCTCGTCCAAAACCTTCTGCAAGAAGCCATTCATCTTATCCCCGGCCGTCTTTGCACGGCGGGAAACCAAGTCGAGCCAGCTCAAGTAGGGGAAATAGTCAGTGATCGAGAAAGCCGCTCCCACCTCGAGGATCTCATCAATCATCGCTATGAAATTCGAGGCCTCCTTCGCAATAGCGGGATCGCCCGAGGCCTTGGATCCAAAGTACGTCTTCTTCATCAGAATGCGAGTCATGACGTTGAAGCTGAGCGCCCTCAAGTGTGGTCTCACTCCGACAACTTGGCCAGCCTTAGAAGCTCTCAATAGCTCACCACTGAGCTCCCACAGCTCGTCCCGGATGATCTGCGTGTTCATACTCATCCTTTTGGCCGTGAATATCTCCGTGGCGCAGAGCTTCCTCAGCTTCTTCCAGTAGTCTCCATATGGCGAGAAAGACATGCTCCTGCTATCCATGACTATGGAGACCACGTTGTTCCGAGGCCTATAGGCGAATTCCGTGTCGTGGTTCTTGAGAAACTCCTTGGCCATTTCTGGACTGGAGACCACGAACACAGGGACAGATCCCAGGCGCAAGTGAAAGAGGGGTCCAAATCTCTTGGAGAGCTGCTGGAGTGCGATGTGTGGGAGCTTGCCCATGGCCAGGAGATGGAAGTGGCCGATGAGAGGTAATCCTCTGGGGCCTGGCGGAAGATTGAGAGATATTCTGGAGAGCCATTGCTTGAGGATGAAAGCAGTGAGGAGGAAGACCACTATATGCACCGCCCAAAACATTCCTACTTTCTGCCCCTAAATTGTAGAGCCGAGCGCTGGAGAGTACTTCCATTCCAATGTTAAATGGAAGATGTCCGACCTTTGACTTCCAAGCTTGGCAACTTTGAAATTTCTTCTAAACTCTTAAGAAATCCAAGCTGCGACAATTTTTTAAATAACAAAGAAATTCAAAGCCTTGAAAATCATCTTCTAGAATCGCTTGTGGCGAGAAGTCTTCGAGCTCCGCAGCCTTTTACTTGGCGACACATTCTGGAAATCAAGCGAATTCCGCAACGTGTATGCAGAAGCTCTGGTCGCAAGGGCCATGGAAACAAACTCACGGACCAGATCATTAGAAAGAAAATATGCGAGTACCTTGTATTGTGAGCTTTCGGGAACTGGGATCTATGTGCACACTCACGTGAAAGTTGGAGATTCCTACAGGAGGACGTCTGCTGGGACCGTGAGCTGATGGACCTTGATGATAGAAATGGTGAGCTCATGGAAGTGCGTTGCAAATAGAGTTGGTGCTCTAGTGACATCCACTATGTACTCACAGATTGCCCTAACACCGTTGTGCTGCGCTGCTGCAAAGCCGCCACCCCACATTGCTGTACTTCCACAGAAAAACCATAGAGTTTTTTCATCTGCACAATTCTCGATGCACAATAGCCAAGAAGCAATTTAAAATTTTGACAACGTGGTAGTATGGGAATGTGAATAATACACATGGCAGTTTTAAGTACATGATTTCAAGTAATACGTTTAATAGGTCAAGCTTTATAGCGCTAGAAACTTCATTAACTTCCATTCAGCAATTATATAGGAATAGGAAAGAAATTTAAAATCATGTCAATGACGGGAAGATCATCTAGGAACTCGGCATTAAGATCCTGGACCTTCTTCAAGGCATGTTCATGGCTCATTTGATCCAGCAGCAATGCAGCAAAGCCCTTAAGGAATTTCCAACCTTCATCCCTGTATTACCCGTGACAATAAGTTTTTGAGCCTTTTGCTCGAAACATTCTGGAAATCGAGCAAATTCCGCAACGTGTATGCCGAATCTCTGGCCGCATGGAACCTTGAAAAGAAGACGGGGCGGACATGCGCACAGCCTCGTGCTGCTGAAGGGGAGCCCGGCACTCCAAGCCATTATGAAGTCAAGTGAGCTATTGGGAAGGTATGCACTCACATGGAAGTTGGAATTCCTATAGGAGGACCTTTGCTGGGACTGTGAGCTGATTGTTTGGTGGATACACTATACAGTGAGCTATCCTCCACTTTGTATATAGTTTAGAGTCAATATACTACAATGAAGTTTATAGAGTGTTGATAAGCACAGGAGATTCAGCATGATTAAGCTTCTAGCATAGCTAAACTTGAGACATCAGGTGAAGAAATAGGCTGCATTTTGTTCCCATTTCAAACAGTGCTTATAGTCTGGAAGATGATGTTTGGCCATAAATAGATATTCAAAGTTTCTAGGATTTTCATATTTTTTCACAGACAAGAGGATTTGCTAGTTCAGTTGCATTTGCCACTTGGTTATATGTCAAGATCCTTGACACAAAATTATTTCCAAATTATAAGGCTAGTTGATAAAGTTTTGATTTTATGTATTTACAATTTTAGATCTACAGAGTTCCAGTAATCCAGTAATATAATGTGATATATTATATTTGAACACTTTAAATAGTGATCAAAATGTTTAAATTAACTTGAGAGTGGTGTAGGCACTTTCATTGAGCCTAGAAGTGATCCTGGCTTTGAGAGTGTGTGCCATAAAGTTTACGAGTCCTGTAACTTCACCCATTTGTTGATCTTTTGGGCTTCCAGGGAACTCCCATTGGAATCCATGAAGAAGATTGGAAAGAACAAGCTGGACGTTTCTAAGACCAAGAGGAAGCCCCGGGCAAGATCTCTTTCCAGATCCAAATGGAAGCAGCTCAAAGTCTTGGCCATTGACACCGATGTTGCTGCCCATGAATCTTTGGGGCTGGAACTCCAGAGGATCACACCATACTCGGGGGTCTCTTCCTATCGCATAGACATTCACAAGTAGCATTGCGTTCTTGGAGATGTCATAGCCTGCAACTTTCTGGGCCTCCATCGATGCGTGTGGTACGAGCAAAGCAATTGGAGGGTGGAGACGAAAGGTTTCCTTGATGATGGCATTCAAAACCTCGAGCTTGGATATGTCTCCCTCTTCGACCATGCGTGTGCGTCCAACAACACTCTCAATCTCTTGCTGAGCTTTGACCATCCAATCTGGGTGGTGAAGAAGTTCCGCCAGAGCCCACTCTGTCACAGTGGATGATGTTTCAGATCCACCAAGCAGTAGATCCTATCAAGATCACAGAACAATCAAGTAAGTTCCACAGAGAAAATCATGGATTCGTAACTTACCATGAGTAGAGCTCTGAGATTGACCGCATCGTTTCCAATGTGAGACCTTGTGATCTCCACGAAATCGGGAACCTCACCGGGGCGCTGCTCGTCCAAAACCTTTTGCAAGAAGCCATTCATCTTATCCCCGGCCACCTTTGCACGGCGGGAAACCAAGTCGAGCCAGCTCAAGTAGGGGAAATAGTCAGTGATCGAGAAAGCCGCTCCCACCTCGAGGATTTCATCAATCATCGCTATGAAATTCGAGGCCTCCTTCGCAATAGCGGGATCGCCCGAGGCCTTGGATCCAAAGTACGTCTTCTTCATCAGAATGCGAGTCATGACGTTGAAGCTGAGCGCCCTCAAGTGTGGTCTCACTCCGACAACTTGGCCAGCCTTAGAAGCTCTCAAGAGCTCACCACTGAGCTCCCAGAGCTCGTCCCGGATGATCTGCGTGTTCATACTCACCCTCTTGGCCGTGAATATCTCCGTGGCGCAGAGCTTCCTCAGCTTCTTCCAGTAGTCTCCATATGGCGAGAAAGACATGCTCCTGCAATCCATGACTATGGAGACGCGTTGTTCCGAGGCCTATAGGCGAATTCCGTGTCGTGGTTCTTGAGAAACTCCTTGGCCATTTCTGGACTGGAGACCACGAACACAGGAACAGATCCCAGGCGCAAGTGAAAGAGGGGTCCATATCTCTTGGAGAGCTGCTGGAGTGAGATGTGTGGGAGCCTGCCCAGGAGATGGAAGTGGCCGATGAGAGGCAATCCTCTGGGACCTGGTGGAAGATTGAGAGATTTGCTGGAGAGCCATTGCTTGAGAATGAAAGCTGAGAAGAGGAAGAGCGCGACTGCCCAAAACATTGCTACCTACTTTCTGCCCCTCAATGGCCTCCTCCTTTTGTATGACAAAGTTTTTTCGTTAACTTCCATTCCAACGTTAAATAGCGACTCTTGAAGAGTCAAAATATGTATAGGAAGCTTTGAGGAGACTGTTAAAGAAATCGAAAGCCTGTAAAATCAACGTGCCTTGAGACTATTATAGACCTTTACGCTACTGCTTCTAGAGTGTTGACGGGAAGGTCGTCCAGGAACTCGGCTTTGAGCTCCTGGACCTTCTTCAAGGCGTGTTCGTGGCTCATCTGATCCAGCGGCATCGCAGCAAAGCCCTTGAGGAATTTCCAGCCTTTGTCCCCGCTGCTGCTGCTGCTACTGCTGCTTCTCTTTCGCTTGCTTCCAGCGTCGCCTTCGTCCTCCAGAATCGCCTGTGGCGAGAAGTCTTCGAGCTCGGCAGCCTTTTGCTTGGCGAGCGCGACGACACATTCTGGAAATCGAGCGAATTCCGCGACGTGTATGCCGAAGCTCTGGTCGCAAGGGCCATCTTCAACCTGGGAAAGAACTCACGGAGCAGATCTCGAAAGCCATTAGAAAGGAAGAAACGCGAGTACCTTGTAAAGCATTGTGAGCTTTCGGGAACTGGGATCTATGTGCGCGCTCACGTGAAAGTTGGAGATTCCTACAGGAGGACCTTTGCTGGGACCGTGAGCTGATGGACCTTGACGATGAGAAATGGACGTGAGCTCGTGGAAGTGAGTTGCAAATAGAGTTGGCGCTCTAGTCACATCCACTATGTACTCACAGATTGCCCAAGCCAGACCTGCCATTGTTACAGAGCGTTAGAGAGCACTAGAAAATCTTGCAGTTAGCAAACTCGAACCAAATCCATCGTAAGTCGAGGTACCCCGGCCGAGTTCGTCAACAATTATTAGAGAAGTCTCAGTTGCAGATTTTAATATCGCTGAGGTTTCGAGCATCTCTGCCATAAACGTTGAAACACCACGCAACTGCAGGAAAAGTTTTTATTCCTAGAACTTGAAGACGTAGCCGAGTTACCTGGCAGTCTCCTGCTCCAACCCGGGCGAAGATACAACTTCGTATGCTGATTTCAGCACGATAGCAGGGCACAAAGCAGCCGACTTGAGCCATCAAGATATTCACACCAATCTAAATAAAAAGAGCTTGTATCAGAGTAAGACGTAAGAAACTCTAAGCTTCACCTGACGGATATACGTTGATTTGCCTCCCATATTTGGCCCAGTGATGATTTGAAACCAGCTCTTGCCTCGAATCTGCATTGTAAAGAAACAATTAGAACACATAGACATCGAAGGGGTCTAAGCACAAATACCAGGCGACAATCATTTGGGATGAAGTTCACGTCATCTTGAGCTTCTACGCAAGGATGCCTGCTTCCCTCCAAGATAATATCGCCCTCATTCTAGTAAAATGAATGAAATTTCTTAGTATACTTTTATAACAAGTTTGCAGCACTTACCTGTCCAGTGATAATAGGCCTTACGTAAGGCGTGGGACTGCTTACAGCCAGATCCGCAAAGCTTAACAAGACATCCAGTTCCGCCAGCAGGTTTGCCGCACCATTAAAAATCTGCAGTAAGTAAAAAACGTATAAAATCACCAACGCAGAAGAATCGACGAGCATACCTCAACGTAGCTCTGTGAAACCTGAACCAGCCTCTTAACAAGATCCCTTTGAGTGTTGGTGTAATTTTCTGTCAGGTTCCCATATCTTTCGCTAAGCCTTCGAAGCTTGGAAGTCGTGAACTTTATCCCATCCTTTCGAGTTTCCAAGGTGATGTATTGCACCGCAAGTTTCTTGCGAACTTTAGGCTCCTCCTTCTTCGTGATCCTGAATACGTGCCCCCACTGCGTCGTTTTGTCCAGCTTCAGCGACTTATCAGCAGGAAGATCCAAATCGTTCGCGGCTTGTTCATGAGCTTCACGGATCTCTTCCTCCACAGCATCACGGTCAGCTTTGATGGTTTTTAAGCTGCTGTCATATGATGCCGAAATGATGTACTCGCCATTCTTGATTTGATCCAGGTCGATGGCGCTTTCGATCAGTGCGTCGTATCTTCCGAGATGTTCAGCAAGCGTCCACTCTCTCAACGGAACGACGTACCGTTCCTCGATGGCGGACGCAAACTCGCCTTCATAACGTTCAAGAGCATCTTTGACGACGGAGAGACGAACACTTACCTGTATACCAATGATCAGACACAGTAAGCAAGGTGTTCAATAACTACGAACCTGATAAAGCTTCACGAGGTCTTGCAACGTAGCTCTCGACCTCTCGAGCTTCCGTGTCAGGCGCTCAACATCCGGCACACGTTTGAGGCAGTTCTTTAAACTTTCCCGCAGCTCGGCGTCTTCTACAAACATCTGGACGACGTCATGCCTGTGTTTGATCTCATCGACGTCAAGTAGAGGCTGCTTCAGCCACCTGTTCAGTAGCCTCTTGCCCATCCCAGCAGTGGACGTGCGATTCATCAGTCCAAAGAGGGTCGAGTTCTTGTTCGGATCATTCTTGGACTCGAGTACGTGCAGCGCTCGCAATGCGGCCGCGTCCAGCCGCATGTATCTGTCGAGGCTGTACTGCTGAAGCCTATACTTCCCGTGATTACTGTCGTCTGCGAAGATATCGGTGTACGCAAGTAGAGCTGCTAATGCCGCTGACGCAACTTCATACTTGACAACGAGTTCTCGGAGCTCCTCAACCGATGTACTCTTGATAAGCCGGCTTAGATCTTGCTCGATGTCTCGGGACTTAAACTCCGCCTTCTTCTTCTCAGTCAGTCGCACGTTGCATCGAGCCAGCACGTCTCGGAGTCTCCGACCGTCGACGCTCTTGGCATTTTCCGCAGGAAGAACGCACTCCCGGCATCCCAGAGCGAGCAGAGCCGACTCCAAGTTTGTGTATTGATCGTCGTCTAGAAACTCTAGTGTGCCCAGCGTCCTTCTCGTCATATCCGTGAAGGCTATGCCGACGAGCTGCTCTTGATCACGGGCGACTGTCCAGACTGCCATCACCACCGGCGTGTCGTGCATGTCGATGCTCGAGAACAAGACGTCTTCGAAGCTCCCAAGCTTTCCCGGAGTTGCGGACTTTGCGAGCTTCCAGTTTCCTCCACTGCCTTCGTAGAGCTCCACGTTGTACTCGGTCTTCTCCAGCAGGACGTCCCGAGTGATCACCTCAAACATGCTCTTGCTGATGCTTACGCTGGAGAGAGTATCAGACCCAGATCCAACCTGACGAAGAGCGGTCGTGGTTCGATAGTAGAGCCTGGCGATAAGACTAGCATTGTCCCCGTGGGCAGTGAAATAGTCCTGAAAAGAAAAATGTAGAACTCTTGATGAAAGGGAAAACCAAAAACTCAAGCACTTACCCGTCGATCGAAGAACCGAATCACTGATGGATCCTGTGTGACCAGCGCAAGAAGATCAAGGAAGAAAACATAAGAACTGGATGATTACCTCTGGCAGCTTGCGAAAGAACTTGATGAAACCCTGAGCTTGCTTCGCATCTGCGAGGAAACAATTGAGGCAAGGAGTACATTAGAATACCGCGGGCGAGGCGCACCTAGCTTGAGCTCCGGCAGCTTGGGATCGTCCTCCATCGCCTCCATCGCCATCGCCACCGCCAAGGTGATAAACCCTAGGCCCTAATGGCGGGAATGCAGTAAAGGACTACATACGAGTGAAGAATATTCTGGTATATGCTCAAAGGGTTTATTAAAATTTCCCGTCGATAAACCCTAGGTGGACTCCATGACCAGGGAATCCATGGCGCTTGTGCTCTTCCTGCTCTTCCTGGCGGCGACGGCGCAAGGGAAAGGTAGATTTCGTCTCGGCGGCCTGGATTTCGAGCACTCCGAACACCGGCATTCCTCGCTAGCGCCAGCTCCAGCGCCAGCCCCAGATCCAGCTCCACTGACGTTCTTCGAGGTGAGCAAGCCGCTGTCCATCCCTAGATCCGGCCACTGCGCGACGCTGCTGCTGCTAAAGCATTCTTTCGGCAACACGATCAGCTCGCCCCCGGTCACTGCTCCTTATAATCCTCCCCGATCGAGCCACTGCGGTGGGGGTTGGGAGAGAGTGATCCTCAGGTGGAGCGTAGCATCCAGGGGCAGGCAGTTCGACCGAATCTCCGCAGCATGGCTGTCTGGAGTGGAAATCTTCCGGACTTGCACGGCGGAGCCTACCAAGCAAGGGATTGTGTGGAGCGTCGAGAAGGACATCACGAAGTATACTTCGTTGCTGGAGAAGCCACAGGTCTTGGCGGTCTCTCTTGCGAACGTGATCGACAAAACTTACACGGGCTTCTTCAACGTCACCCTCACTGCCGAGTTCTACAAGCCCGCTCAGAGAAACTCCAAGCGCTCTTCGAAGGCGATGCCCGCTGATCTCGTTCTTCCAATCGCTTTGCCAACTTCGGAGAATGGTGGCTACTGGTTCCAGCTCCAAAACAGTTCCCACGTTGGAACTGTGAACCTCACCAGTCTTCCTCGAAACATCTACAAGGCGGAGCTCGAGGTCTGCGTTTCCTTCCATGGTGACGACGAGTTCTGGTACACCAATCCAACGAACGATTACTTGGACGCCAACGGTGAAAGCAGTTCGGGCTCCAGGAACGGTCCCTACAGGGAAGTGCTGGTTACTCTGGACGGGAAGCTTGTTGGAGAGATTTGTCCCTTTCCAGTGATCTACACGGGTGGCGTCAATCCACTGTTTTGGAGACCAGCAGCAGCAATCGGGGCTTTCAATCTACCAACCTACATTCTCGACGTAACTCCGTTTGTTGGCCAGCTGGTGGATGGGAACAGCCACGAGATCAGCTTGAGCGTCACCAACGCTGTCAGGAACTGGTTATTGGACGCCAACTTACACCTCTGGCTGGACCATGGTAGCTCGCAAACGTCCGGAAAGCTCATCTCTTACAGCTCTCCTCCAGCCGTTATCAGTTACGACTCACACTACAAAGGTCTCGACGGTACTCTTCTGCTGTCTGCCTCTCGGTCACTTCAGTACTCGGGCTACGTCGAGTCTTCCTCTCACGGGAAGCTCATAACGACTTCATCGTACAGCTACAAGTTCTCCAACCAGATGGTCTTCTCCGAAAATGGCAGCGTTTCCACAGTAAAGCAGCTCATCGATGCACAGACGAAGTTCCTGGTGGAAAGCAGCTCCAAGCAGGTTAGATTGCAGCAGAAGTCGAGCTCGTACCCTTTCTTTCTCTACAACTCACAGAAGGATGGAACCAACAAGTCTGTTGTTTTAGACGCCAGGATCTCGCATGGACTTCAAGAAGAATACGACGACGACTCCTTTTGGAGCCGGCTCAACAACAAGCAAGACACTGCCGGGAAAATCGTCATCCAAGCGAATATAGTCACCAGTGGGACGGGAAAGCTAAACCAGACTTATGTGTCCGAGAGCAGCGAGGGATGTTACCACCGGAGCATCCGAACGAGCAACACTACAACACAGTACGATGAAAGTGGTTTTCGATGCATCGCCAGCGCTTAAATAGGCAGTTTATAAACCAAAGGTGGCGGGAGTTTCTCGTAAAAGGCCTAAAAGTTGCGGCATGGCGCTGGTGGTGCTCCTGCTACTTTTGGCGGCAGTGGCTCAGGCGATTCCTGGGAGAAGCAGCAGGTTTCAGCTGGGGGACCTGGATTTCGAGCAGCCTCGACGACCAGCGTTCTCAGTTGATGAGCAGCAACAGCAGCAGCAGGATTCCCTTTCAAGGTTTTTCGAGGTGAGCAAGCCACTTTCAGTTCCAAAGTCAGGCCACTGCGCGTCGCAGCTGCTGCTGAAGTATTCTTTCGGCAACACGATCAGCTCGCCGCCGGTCGTGGTGCCTTACAATCCTCCTCAAGCTCCCGAGTGTAGCGAAGATTGGGACAAGGTGATCCTCGTCTGGAATGTCACGTCCAAAGGCCGGCAGTTCGATCGGATCTCGGCCGTGTGGCTGAGTGGAGTGGAGATCTTCCGGACGTCCACCGCCGAGCCGACCAGGAAAGGGATCTTCTGGACGGTAGAGAAAGACGTCACCAAGTATCGTGCCTTGCTAGACAAGCCACAGAGTTTGGAAGTCGCGCTAGCCAATGTGATCGACGAGACTTACACCGGGTTTTTCAACGTGACGCTCACTGCCAACTTCTACAAGTCGTCCAACTCGTCTTCTTCTCTGGTGGATGCCGAGGCTCCTGCCGATATTGTTCTTCCAGTCGCGCTGCCAACCTCGGGAAACGGTGGCTACTGGTTCCAGATCCAAAACAGCTCCGACGCTGGCCGCGTGGAGTTGAGCAATCTCCCGACGAACATCTACAAGGCCAAGCTCGAGGTCTACGTCTCCTTCCACGGCAACGACGAGTTCTGGTACATGAATCCCACGAACGACTACTTGGACGCCAACAATATCAACACGGCTTCCAGGAACGGTCCCTACAGAGAAGTTCTGGTCACTGTCGACGGGTTCCTCGCGGGAGAGATCTGTCCCTTGCCAGTGATCTTCACGGGTGGAATCAATCCACTGCTTTGGGCTCCAGCAGCCGCAATCGGAGCTTTCGACCTGCCAAGCTACACTCTCGACATAACTCCATTTGTTGGTCTGCTGGTGGACGGTGGCAGCCATGAGATCGGCTTCAGCGTCACCAATGCTTTCAGGTTTTGGCTACTGGACGCCAACTTACACCTCTGGCTCGACCACGGTAGCTCTGAGACGTCCGGGCAGCTTGTCTCCTACAACGCTCCAGCAGCCGGTATCAGCTATGACGCACGCTACAAAGGCCCGGTCGGCTCTCTCCGGGTGGCCGCCTCTCGGTCTCTCCAGTACTCGGGCTACGTCGAGTCTTCCTCGCGCGGCAAGCTCTTCACCACCTCCTCGTACAGCTACGCGTTCTCCAACCGGATGGACTTCTCTGGGAACAATGGCGAGATAACAACTGTAGATCAGAGTATCGACACCAATGCCAAGGTCGTGGTGGCCAGTGGCGACGAGCAGATCGAGCTCCAGCAAACTTCCAGCTCGTATCCGCTCCACGTGTTCGACTCCGAGACTACACCCGCCGATGGCTCGATTGTCTCGGAGACGAGGATCTCCCATGGAGTGGCGGAGGAGATTGAGGTGCATCACGGCAGTGGAGGCGGGGAGTTTTACTGGAGCCGGCTTGACAACAAGCAGGACGCGGCTGGGAAGATCGTGATCGCAGGGAACAAGGTCGTGAGTGGAGGTGGAGCGCTCAATCAGACGTATAGTTTCCAGAGCAGTGATGGGTGCTACTCGAGGACAATCGAGGCGGGCAGCGATGCCATTCAGTTTGATCGTGTGAGTAGCAGCTGCATCCCATTTGCTTAGTGTAACAATTTCTACGAGGTAATCTATATTCAAATTATACCTATTGTTAGAGCATGGTTTACTTGGGTCAAGGATCTCGTCAACCAGTTAAATGTTAGCATGTTAGACCGTTGACTATTCTCCAGTAGATTTAATCAAACTTGTAAAAGGTGGTAGTGAATATACTTAAAATATATTTAAATATTTTAAGATTCTACCATCTAACGGTTGTTATTTATTTAGATTAATCTTGTATTTTTTATTTATAAACATGTTTTACTTTCTTAAACCTTTTCTAGTATTTCATCTAATGGTTGATATGCAATAAGATTAATCTTGTGTTTATAAATTACAAACATGTTTGTAATTATAAACTTTATTTGATCCATTGACTAAACTAAGCATTATTACATGCAACATGTAGCAATTTATTTAAAATTGAATAAAAACTTGCTAAAGAAGATTCTAGGCGTCTGTCATGATCTTTGTTTAAATTTTTCTTCTAAAAACATGCGAAGCTTCACAGGACAATGAGAGGTACGTCACTGTTCTTCCAAAGGAGATGAACACGTTATTCAGTGTAGAAACTCCCAGCTCAAAGGTTTCTACTACACGATTTAGCAGCTTCTGCATCTAACGTTCCTTGCCTCTCCACAGGCCTCCATGGCCTTTCCAAAAGACAAGATTGCGTTCTTGTTTATCCACAGGGAGAATGGCGAGGTTGCATTCATCTCGCGGATATGTCCCCCACTCAGAAGAGCAGTAGTGAGGAATTCATGTTTTCTTCCATGGTTACGAGCACAGCAGAAGATTTAGAGGCGGCCAAGAAAGCCGCACGATCAGAGACACACCATATTCATGCATGGAGCTGATTCATGCTCTTCGTGGGAAGCCACACTCTACGAGAGATACTTTTAGAATTTGAGGGCGTGGTTTTCATCCAGGATCCCAGTCTCCAGGAGGCTAGCAAGAGCATGAGTTCTCTCCTGCTGGAAAACAGTGCCATGACCAGGGAGTTTCTGGAGCCCTTCAGCTCGCACATACCTCAAAAGGTGGCGACATCGAGCGATCACCTCCCAAGTTGTGGACATCGCTGAGCAGAATGACATCCACTTCCCAAAGCACGGCCAGTGGTTCACCAGCGGAGGCAAACAGAGGTTCGCAGACAGGACGAGGTACCACGTCGCAAGGAATATTCCACTCGAGTTCGTCTTGCCGGCATTTCCAGTCAAGTCGTGCAATCCCGATAAGTGCCCCGACAAAGCGGAGGAGCTGGCCATCCATTCCATGAAGATCGTCGCTGATCTCATCAAGGCCGTGTATGCTCGTCTCTTCTCTGACCTCGTCGGCTCGGACGATGCTGCTGTGGATTCTTGTGGAGAGATGTTTTGGGAGATGGCACACAACTTGTATCCCGGCTTGGTCAGTTTCTTTTGCCTGGAAACCACGCATTAGGCAGTGAAACGACGACAATTTCGCAAAGCCTTGGGCCTAGCAATAGAAAAACCTTTAGAGTAGTTGCAGGCACTGATTTTTTTGAGGAGCCTAGCTTTCCTGCAAACAAGAGCACGATGTCGAGAAAACGAAGGTAATCAAAACGATAAGATAGATCACTTACCACCTCCTTGTCAAACATGCGTCGTCTGGAGCTCAAGATCTCGTTTCGCTGCAGCGCTGCCATCTTGGAAACAGCCGACAACGTCTTCTGATGAGACTTTCCCAAGAGAGGAGTCTTGAATTGTGCCTGGTGTCTTCTGTGAACACTGGCGACCTTTCCTCCACAGAGGCTGACGGGTGTTCTTCGTGGAGCGTCTCGATTTGCTGGACTATCCACTGGAGCACTGGCTTGATCGCGGACACTGAGCTGGTTCGATATGTTCCTCAACGGCGAAGCTGCCGCACCTCTCTTCTCGGTCATTTTCTTCGCGGACTCTGCCATCGCCTTCTCCATAAACCTCTTCCTTCCAAACACTGGCTGCTCCTTACGTAGCTCTCCTCTTGTGTTCACCTCACTGCTTGATCTTGGCCGTAACACTTCGTCGTTCTGCACCATGTCGACGCTTTTTATCCTCCGCTGCGTCAGAACCTCGGTTCTCTTGAGCCTCGCTCTCACTAGACTCCTGTTTGCTAGCATCCTCTTCATAAAAGGTACTTCTTTATAGTGATCTTTGTGCCTAGCTTTCCTCGTTGCTCGTTCAACCATCTCCTTCCAGTGTCTTGCTTTTATGGATGTGTTGTTGGACGCCGCGTTTTCGGTTTCTACTCGAGCGGTCGAGTCTGCTACTTCTGGGTCATCCTGCGGGCTGCTAAAAGAGCATGTTAAAATGCGAGGCACTGAACACGGACTAATATACCTGTCCACAATAACTTCTGGACTTGAGAGCTCACAGCAATCCTGTACAAGTATAGATGTTAGAGGCTCGTTACTCTACCGTGAACCTCACCATATTCTCGCTTTGCCTACACAATAATACAAGAATGTGAGTGCCTGACACTGACAGAAATTACTGACTACCATACCCGTCTTGAAGGACTTCTGGAACATCGTCCTAGAGACACGCGGAAATCAGAAGAACATCCAGGTTATCATTCATACAACTCTTACCATGTATAACCTGCAAGCATTTCGAGAGCGTGAACAACGATATGAAGGAAAAGTAAACGCATACTCGACGTTGTGACCTTGTGGAGTTGGACGTTGAGAAAACTCTTCCTGCACAGATGTAGATCTTCCATACACAACGGGAGTGAGGTGCTTACAAAGGTTACCTTATCCTCGATTATCCTGAAAACAATCAAGAAATAAGCATTGGCAGAACAATAAAACTAGATAAAACTATATACCCGTCCCCAGAACCGCGTGAAAGATCCTCCTAGACGCACAAATAAGTTAGAAGAACACCGAGAGCACAAAACTCACCACATTCTCGCTGTTCCTGCAGAATTGGAACAATAAAAAAAAAAGAAAAGAAAATTTCCCACAGTAAGGAAGTGTTTTACCTATGGTCGAGCGCTTGTGGACTTGGCCGCTGTTAAACAAAGCTACTAGTAAGAAAGGAGCATTGCTATAGAAAATGTACCATATTCTGTGGATCCATCTCCAAAGCTGCTTGATTTCCCATTTCTATAGGGCTCTTAACTCCATTACTCACAGCAATCTTCCCAGAATCACTTAGAAGCGAGTTTGTCACACGCTCCTCACTGCCTTCGACTTGCTTGTCCACCTCTGTAGCCTCCGATTGTGTCTCCGAGCCACCGCGCACCTCTTGTTCTACCTCAATTTCTTCATCAATCTCCTCCTGGAATGCACAAAGCCGTGAGCGACTTTTCAAATGCCCTGGATGGATTCATACCATGGAAATCTTCGACAGCGCATCCGCCATGAATCTGTTCGTCTTGTTCGCTGGGATTCCGTGCTTCTTGCACAGCTGCTGGAGCTTGCGCCGCGGAAGCTTGTGAAAATCGCCATGGCTTAGAGCACTTCTCCCCATCACAAAGCCCTAAAACTCCACCCCAAAATGTGACCGTTGTAATGGACAATCCTGTCGCGGCGAGGAATCGAACCTCGGGTCTGCTCTGTTTAAACCTAAAAGAGGTTTAGGGTTCTTCGATGGAAGAAGAAGCAGCAAAGGCGACGAAAAGAAAGAAGAATGTAGCGGTGGAGGAGAAGGAGGAGAAGAAAGGTGTGTGCTATCTCAGCCGGATTCCACCGCATTTGAAGCCGCTCAAGCTGCGCCATCTTCTCTCGCAGTATGGCGATGTTTTGCGAGTGTATCTCGTCCCGGAAGGTATGGTAGCAAATCTCGATCCACAATTCGCCAATCGTGAGCCATATTCCGATGTTAGATCCGGCCGCGAGGAAGCGCAGGAAGCGAGCTGGAGGGAACACCGGCAAGAATTTCACTGAAGGGTAAGTTAAGTGGTGCTAAAGAGATTGGGGAAGAACTTGTCTAGCTTCCAGGTGGGTGGAATTCTCAAAGAAGAGCGATGCAAAGCATGTAGCAAAACTACTAAATGGAGAACCGATGGGTCAGTTCTCTGAAGTTCGCAAGGAATTCGTGATGGTTTTTTCGTTTTCTTTTCAGGTGGGAAGAGACGATCAGCTTATTACTACGATCTCTGGAACATCAAATACTTGAGAAAGTTCAAGTGGAACCATCTAACAGAAGAAATTGGTAAGCGATCTCAGCAATTTTTTGTTTTCTTTTGTATTCTAGACACTAATATCTTGCTAAATAGCTTACAGGAAAGCCGTTCACGATCAAAAGCTTGCGGCCGAGATCTCTGCGGCCAAGCGCGAGCGAGATTTCTACCTTGCTCGGGTTGATCAATCCAAAACCATCAAAGCTATTCAAGAAAAGAAGAAACGTAAGGCCGGCGATCCACAAGATGAGACGAGCCGGAAAACGCTGCGAAGGTTTTCTCAAACAAAATCAGTTGGCAAGAATGAAGAGGACCAGGCAACTCGACTAGATCTCAAGGTTTTAGCAGGGGTAAGAATTTCTTTTCGTAGTTTGCTTCGTGGGAACTGAGTTACTCTTTACAGGTGTTTGTGCAAAACGAAGAACAAACCTGATTTAAGAAAAGCAAAGAACTTAGTTTGCAAAAAGGGTGTTTAGCTATAAAAGACCTTTAAGGTTGTCGACAAGAACAGAGACCCCAAGACGGCGTGAACAGCTCCCTGATCACTTTTTAGTTGGTAGGGCTGTTAGAGTGTTGGAGATGGTTAGTTTGGAGTAGTGGAGTACATTGCTAGATAATGTTGCTTTAAAAATTTTATTAGCATTGGCTACTATTAAGTGCAATATCTTTGTTAGGTAAAAATACTGATTGCTCTAGTTCACTTTTACAAGATGAAAAGTTATGAGATTAAAGGGATGTTATTGAATGTAAATTATGTTATATTAATTATTATAAACAAATTTGATGAATAATTAACATGAACAAGGGTAGATTTAACCTCATCTCTGCCACATAATTTTTTAAAAAGAAAGATAAAATTTGATTTTAAAATATTAATTAAAAAATAATTTATTAACATAACTTTAATAGTGAATTAATATTAACTATCTAATATTTTTAAAAATAAAAATAAACATTTGATATATACATTTTATATCCTCCATAAAAATTAAGTTTAAATATTTTAATATTGAAAGTTTGTTGTTTATGACTATTTGAGGTTTATGTTTTTTTTCTTAATATTAAACATTCAGTTCATCTTAAATTCTCAAAAATTTTAAATTTTAAATAAATAAATTTTAAAAAGTTAAAAAATTAATTTGTTTAATTAGTTAACAATGGAGTACACTAATAACTAATACTACTTGAAGACATTATTAACCTCATCTGCCACTCCAATGCAGGTGTGATATATTTGCTTCTTTTAGTTTACTTTTGCAAAATGAAAAATCATTAAAATCTGTTTGGAAATCAAGTAATTCACAAGTTTATAAAAATTAAATGGATATTACTGAATATCAATAATATTATATTAATTGATATGAACAAGTTGATTAATAATTAATTTCAACATTACTTGAAAAGAAATAATAAATTCAATAATATTAGTTTAAAAATAAAGTAGTTAACATAAGTTTAGTAGTGAATTAATATTCATTATACTTATAATTTTTAATATAATAATAAACATTTGATACATACATTTTATATTCTCTATAAAAATAAATTGGAGTGTTTTATCATTGAAAGTTTGTTTTTTGCAACAATTTGAAATGTATATTTGTTTTTTTAATATTAAACATTCAATTGATCTTGAATTCTCAAAAATTTTAAAAATTAGTAGAAATATTGATTAAAATAAATAAAATATAAATAAACTAAAAATATAATTTTTTATTTTACATTTTTAACACTAATAACATTATTACTTTTAAAAACTGAAAGGCTATTAAAATGTGTTTAGAACCTGATAAGTTTGCAATGATTAAAAAGATGTTACGAAAAAAATGAAATTGATGGATGATTAATATGAATAAGTTAATATTAAGTATGGGCAAACAACAAATAAATGCATTTATATTGTTTTTTCATAAGTTTAATTTCAATTCTATCATGTAATTTATTTTTGAAAATCATTTTTAAAATATTAATTAAAAAATATAGTAGTTAACTTAAGTTTATTAGTGAATTAATATATTCTTTTTTTTTATAGGTTTAATTTCAACCCGATCATGTAATTTATTTTTAAAAATCATTTTTAAAATATTAATTAAAAAATAAGGTAGTATATTAGTGAATTAATATTTAATATTTAATATTTTTTTAATATAAAGATAAACATTTAATACATACTGTGAGGGCCAAGTGTACGGTTACGATGCCGTATACTAATATTAGCGTAATGGATTTTGGTAGCCGTCGGATTGGTTTCAATCCGGACCACTCACTCCTGTATATAAACTAGGGTTTTTGGGCTAATTGATATGCACATTTCTGTATTCCCTTTCCATATTCCATGCACTCACATTGGTGGAAATGAGGGGCACCTTTGATTGTCCCTGGGGAGTGCTTGGATTTGGGATTTCGGTTTAGATCTAGCTTTTGCATCGTCTAGATCTAGCTTTTTCCATTTCCTTTCTTTTGTTCTTTCCTTTCAGGATTTTGGTTTCGATCTAGTTTTTTGCATTATCTAGATCTACCATTTCTTTCCAGCTTTTTTTGTCATTTCTCTTCTTTGCTCTTTCTTTTTCGTTCATCTTCATGGCCGATCCGCAATCTCCTCCTTTGACTCTAGAGCAGCAGTTGGTTCAATTGCTTGATGCTATGCACTTGCAATTGAACAACCAAACTCAGTTGATGGCGGCGTTCACGGCACGTGGTAGAACTCCTCTTGCTCTTGGTGCCAATCCTCGCGTTCGGCCGGAGTTCTTTCGCAGGAATCCTGGGGATGATGTGTACCATTGGTTTGATCACTTTACGGTGATTGCCACATATCATTCTTGGGATGATGCTCGACGGTTGCGTGAGTTTCCCACATATCTCCAAGGGACGGCGTTGCAGTTGTACAATGGTTTGAGCGCAGCTACTCGTGGGGATTGGAGTGTTCTCCCGGACGTCTTCAAACGCGCCTTCGGACATGCCGATGATTGTGATGATGCTTTCCAACAATTGCATCGTCTTCGCCAAGGGCCATCGGAGTCGGTGATGCAATTTGGCGTTCTTTTCCGAAGTCTTTTGCTTCGTGCGGAGCCAAATATGTCGGAGCGGATCAAGCTAGGAATGTTGTGGCCAGCACTTCGTCAAGATCTTGTCGGACTTGTGCATGCACTTGCTCCTGCCACCCTTGACGATGCTCTTCGCTTGGCACAACATTATGAGATGTCGCCTCTTCCACTTCTCGCTACACGTCCTTCCGCTCCACTTCCTATGGGTGATGGTCCTGTTCCAATGGAGGTTGATGCTGCTGCTGCTCGAGTCCAAGGACAAGCGCGAGGACGTGGTCGTGGCCGTGATGTTCGCTGCTGGGCGTGTGATGAAGTTGGTCATACTTATCGGCGTTGCCGTCGTTTTCCGGATTGGCGACCTCCATTTCCTGGGTGGAGACCTTGGCGTCAGCAACGTCCCCTGGGTGCTGCTGCAGTGGAAGGCCTGGACACCAAGATGCATCAGGGAAACGAGGAGTCGCGCGAGTAACGGAGGGACCTTGCGCGAATAAATCAGTGACCCCTCCATCTTTCTTTCGGGAGTATCATCAAGGGGTTCACTCGGCACCAGTTCATCCAGTGTTTACTTTCCAAGTTCGTTTTTATAACAAGAAGTCTCCTATTATTCTCTCCGTATTGGTTGATATAAGTTCGAGTTTATCTTCTATTGCTCGACTGTAAGCGACTAAATTTTCCATTCTACTTTAGTCACTTAACCGCACCTCTGACCACTTGGAGGAGTCTCATTCACAACCTCCATAAGTCCAATCCAGGACTTGGGACTTGCTAGCCCCGAGAATGGCATCCATGCCACTCAACATTTGCACTTGGTCCAAGTGCTCCACATGACCGATCCCATGACCGACACTCAAAGGTACCACCGACATAGCAGCCCATTACGCTAAGGCCATGCCCAATCACCTTTGCCACACTGGTAGTCCAATACCACTTGCATCACCGTCTTGGCTCTCCAAGACTAGGCAAACCATCCGTGAGTGGTCATCTCAGATCCACTCCTTAGCATCCTTAGGATGCCCACCGACAAGGGGAATAGCCTTCCCCGATATCCCTCCGTTAGTCCCCACTAAGTCCCTTTTTGCCCCTGGCCGTGTTTGCCAACACTGCCATTGGATCGAGACCCACAGGCCCGACCACTAAGTCCCACGGTCCTCTAGGACTTCCTCACCACACGACTGTGTCCTGGGTCACTACCCCAGAGGACTGCTCCTCTTCCTTTCCACAGTCTGGGCCTTTGGGACAACATTTCGGAACACCGTGGCCTTACGCGAGCCACCTGGGTACTCTCCTCGCCTTCTGCCCTTGGG